GCTGAACACTGTGACATACTTGTGGGACTATGTAGTTAAATAACAACTCTTAGGCTGGAAGAGTATTTTGCCCTCCAGCTGAGGGACTGGACCTACGCTCTTAAGGTTTTTACTTTTGTTAGGAATGAAACGCAGCCATCTAAAAATATTTTAGAAAATTTATTGCAAACTGACATACAAAGGGTGATTTGGTCCCCTGAGAAGACAGACCAGAATCAGATCGTATTTCAAAATAAAGTTTCTCCTAATACTGCATCACATTTGCCATCCTGCTTGTAAACAGCATGAATAAAGTCTTTTAAGGAAGCCAGCAACAAATGAAACTGATACAAATACAGAAGTCTGAAAACACCCCACAGCTGCTTCTCTCTTGCCCTCTCCAGAATTTTTTGAATCTCACTCAGTCCTCCCACTTAATTCCTCCTCTGCCCTACTCTCCTCCCATCAATTTAAGCGATTCAACCCTGTTCTCGCCTATTGTATGGGCAGAAATTAAATATGAAAAAAAATGTTTTCTACCAAAGCACACTGCTTGGACACAGGGGTCTTCTCCCTCATCTTGGTCTCTGTCAATAGCCCACCACTGTATTACTGTTTCAGATGGCTGAATAACAGGAATCAGTGGTGCTGTATTAGCATCAAACAATTAGGTGGAAATGCATCTTTGAAAGTCAACCTTTGGTACAAACATAACGGGAAGAAAGTATGCTTAAAAGCCATCTACAACAATTTCTTCTGCAAATTTGGTAAGCAATTTTCACTTTTAAGAGGAAACCCTGCATCTAGATTTGACTTATTTTGGCCTCCCAGTTTTCTACATCCTCATCCTGCATTGCTGAGAAGGTTTTGAATTATTTATCTTTTCAGTTTATTTAGGATTCAGAGCTGTCAGCTAAAACAGTTCCAACCTTGAACTTTCATTATAATCCTGCAAGTTTAGAAACATAAGTATTTGGAAGTATCACGTTTTCTACCCACAGTGATAACAGCCTTCTCCAAACTGCATTTACTTTATACTCAAGCAGTGTAGCATGTCAAAGGCTGTAATTTTAAGCACACTTGGCAGCCTAATAATACATGAGAAGATTTACACAGCATGTGCAAGAGATTTACAGAAGACCTTGAACTGAAATTAGACATAATAGCAAAATAAAGTTGCACATGTTTTCCAATTTAATAATAGTTTCAGAATGGTCAAATTATATGCTGGTTAGCAGAGTAATACCTATTCAAGTGTTGGAATGTTTTGAGCGATGCTCTGAAATGTTTTAGTAAGACAGCAAATTTCACACAACCTTCAACAAGAGCAGCAAGATAGACAGGGTTTAACAGATAAGAGGGGTATCTTCTGAACAAAGCTGCTGGTGTCAGCCAGAAGAAGCGATGACTGCAAAAAGAGAAGCTTGATTTTAAACTATTGAGTACAGGTTATTCAACAGTAAAAAATACCATCACAAAGATTATCAATTAGCTGTGCAAAGGAAGAATAGATTTTCTTACGCAAACAACTGCATTACTGTCTACTTGCTCTTTTATGTTAGCAAGATATCAACAACAGACTGGGATGCTAAAACTGAACAGAACCTATTACCTTGAAAGGAATTTCTTACAAAACCCCTCAATTCAGATATCCCTGAGAAAGCTCAAGGACGTAAGAACAGAAGGTAAGACTCTCTGCCTTGTTTAAGCATTTTAAGCATAACGGAACTGTTGTGCATTGAGGAAAGGTACAAGCAATAACTCATTGAGGATTCCTTTTCTTAACACCCTAAGCTGGGTACAAAATCCTTTTGGCATACATACATATGAACTATGTGACGTTATGCTAATGGCACATGCTCTGGCTTAAATTTTAAGTATAGATTCCCTCAGCAAGAAGACAAACATCTTCACCACCAGTGCCAGCAGTCTCAAGTCCTCAAGTTTGGGACTTCGTTACAGATGATAAACAGCATTTGACCCTCTTTATGCCAGAAAGTGGCTGCCTGTTATCTGATTTGCTTACCATGTTTATAAAAATTAAAGGATGCCACTTATTTCATCAAGTTACACTGGCTTTAGCTGACTTTCCAATTCGATGCACACAAAAAAATCACAGCACAATGTAAGTGAATCAATTGGCTGAGAACCACTTTTTTCCAGACTTTACATCATTTGGGGAGGGTGACAGAAAACCCACAAGCACAGTTTAGGAGCTAATGAACCAAAGATGACGACTGAAGTTAGTAGATACCTTGTAAGCTAGTAGCTGGTTTTACTTTCTACAAAGCAAGAGGTTTATGCTCAGCTATAACATTACTTCTCCACCCCACTGCAGAATGTGCAATTTCTACATTTGAGTTTGCATCAAGAACAAACCAGCCACAGATGAAATAGTGTGAAAAGCTGTATTATCACAGGGATTGCTCTTCTGTCTATGCCTAGACTCAAAAGTGTTTCTTCCTTTCCATACCTTTTTGTAGTTCAAATTAAACTGACCAAGCATAGTACGTGCACCAAAGTCTTAATGGCTCAGTACGTGAAAGATGTGGCTTAAGCCACAGTTACATTCAGTATTTGGATTTTATACTTTACCAAGGACAATTAAGACGATATTCCACCATTAAGCAAGATGGAAAGCGACTTCCTTGTTCCAAAGGCCTCTGGATTACCTCCTCAGTAAAAACCAGAGTATTTAACATGCCAGAGAACAGATATCTTGGGAGTTTTTTCAGTTACATTGTGTCTGGCCAATCCATGTTTTTATGATTGTTAGCAAGAAAAAAAACAAATAATAAAATTTCATATTCACACATCAAACCAGAAAGAAAGAGGGAATTAGAAAAAAGCAACAAAAGCCATCTGAAGCTCACCATTTTCAGTCTTCAATCTGGTACCTACAACTCCATTTCTTCTTCTGCACACCCAGATATTCCCAAACTAGCGTATGGATCTGGAGACATGGCAGTCTGTTGTGATACAGGGAATGTTTCAGTCTGTGGGTCAAAAGCAGCTCTTGGCGTTGACTGCTTAGCTTGACACCCTTCTATACTCTGCTGCTTGAAGTTCTTAACAGAAACAGACTTCAGTTTATCTGAGAGAAATTCAGGAAGAGGTTTCCAAAGCACCAGCTCCATAGAAGGACGGCTCCTAGAAGGGATGGAGTCTCAGTTAAATTTAAGTTCTCCACTCACAACTATTAAATGCAGAAGACCAGTGAGTACCTTCATCCTTTCTGCTAGCCTGGAACTATATTCCAGAATCCTTAGACCTTTTTTTTTTCTTTTTATTCCCCTACTAAATTTCTTCTTCCTTAACCAGTTTCATTACTTCTTGTTCTAGGCCTGTATTCTCTTTTCTTTTCCACCAAACTAATGACCACTGTCGGTCACACTTAAGGACCACCTTCTTTTGGAAACTCACATACATGAAAACCAAAATATAATGGTTTATTCAACAAATTTCACTCTAGGAGTGAGGAGTAAAACAGCTTGATAACCACTACAGAGTTACGGTTACTCCTCTTGTACACCAGGAGAGTTTTTCCTATTTTAGACCAGATGAATGGTTTGTTACACAGCGTTGGCTGCGTCAT